TGGCCTCATCCATCTCAGCAAGAAAGTTATTTTCCTTAAATAACTCATTTAAAACTCTTTGAGTCTCTTCCCTTTGTTTTTCCCCACCTCCCCCAAATGCTCTCAGCCAAGGGGTCCCACCACTGCCCTGGGGCTCAGCCACACTGGGATGTGGGCTCTCATCCATCCTTTTGGGATGCAGCAGAAAGGCTGTACCATACACACACTCCCCACATGGGCTGTTGCCATGGGAGGCTCTGTGATGTGATTCACCCCGCAGAGCCACAATAACATGTTACCAAACAAGCCTGCAGCTGCAGAGACCTGCGATCTCAGAACTCCAGGGAGCTTCCTGGACCCGCCTGGCTGTCACCACTCTGTGAGGACAGAGGGGAAATGGGGGGGTGCAAGGATTGACCTCCACCAAATGATTCGGGGTTTCCAAGTATGAGGAAAAACTAAGATTTCCCAAAACAGAGAAAGAGAACTGAGCATCCAGCTCCTTGTCAGCAGGATGTCACTGATGGGATTTCAGTGGCGGGGGGGCACAGCTCCCACAGGCGCTGCTGGCCATGACACCCCCATCCTCACAGTGCTGGGTGCCCCGCACACTCCTGCCTGCTCCTAAATAACAGGCGGTGAGACCCTCTTCTCTCCAGCCTCAGGGAAACCCTTTAAAGACCTTCCTTCCTACCAGCACTGCCAGCAGGGAAATAGGGGTGGGGGATGATGGGGAGTATGAGCGAGCAGCACCCCAAAAGCCCACCCAGCGAGGCTCCTGGAGTAAGCAGGTGTGGTTACATTTGTGGGTTTGAACTGCGGAAGATTCCCAGACCCACCCCATTATATCACACTCACCGCGGAGGTGACCTACATCCATCTGGGTGGCTTTCCAGCTAAGGCTACAGGTCCCTGCACCCTGCCCTGTGTCCCACCCCCCGTGCTGACCATCAGCAGCAGGATGCTGGCTCTGAGGCCAAACCTGCATCGTAGACTAGGCACCATTTGCAGGCACTGGAGCTGCAACTACTTTGGCAAAGGGGAACAGGCAGTACCGCCTTGCTGAAGGGCCAGCAGCTCCTGCCAAGGCGGGGAGGCTCCAGGGGGCTGGGCAGCAGCGGACCAGCGGTCACTGGGAGACATTGCTGCTGATGATGTCTCCTGCACTCCCACCCCCAGCAGCCCTTTCCTCCTGTCCCCATTCAAACACAGCACTGATGCAGCTCCACCAGCGAACTGCACATCCAGATCAGCAGCCCTGTGACAGCAGGGCGCAGAAACCTGGCATCTGCCCACACCCTGCCTGCCTCCACTGTCCCCATGCCCCCGTGTCCCCAGATCTGCCCAGGCACCCGCCATGTCTTATCATGGAAGAAGAAGCTCTGCCATGGCTGTCACCTCCTTTTGACCCCATGCCCAGAGCAGAGCACAGACCCTGCTCTCTGCCTGGGGCTCCAGGTGCCACCGCACCCCGGAGAACAGCAGAGCCCGGTGCCAGCTGCTCCTGCACCAAGGCTGCCCTGGCCTTGCTGAGCTGTGCAGCAGCAACACCTGATCCCTCAGATCTTATTTTAATTTACAATGCCAGCCAGGACCTTAGGGCTCAAGTCAGGAAAGATGGGAACTGGCTGCTCACAAGCACACATCCAGAGATGAAACATTCCAGCCCCTAACGACAGGTGGAGATGAACAAACAGGTACAAAGTCTAGAGGCTCATTTTCCATGTGGGCAAACCCATGCAAACACAGCCCGGCAATAAAGCAGCTGATGTAGTGAAAACAAGATGTGTAAAATGGGCCTATGAATTCTGCATTTCTCTTCTGCCGCAGCTATTTTTGATCGATGATATCATTAGACATTAGGGACGGAAGCCAGCTGGCGGACCTGGCAGCTGACGAGTGAGCGATAGTGCTCCCCAGCCTGCCGGCTCCAGGCATGTCAGGAAGCCTCCTGTGTTACGCGTTACACCGCATGGGTTCGTTCACTTAGGAAAACAGATGATAAAAAGTTGACAATTCATTTTCTCCCAAGCAAAAAGAGCTGCTCTGTGGGCTGGGCTGAGCAGGGCACTGCAAACTGGCCCACAGTGCCATGCTGAGCCAAAACCAAAACAAAAACCAAGCCCAAAACATTCTCATGGGTCAAACATTTATCAGTGGTTAATGCTTGAAAGTAAAAGGGGAGCCCGTAAGAAGTTGTGCAGCCTGACATTGGTCTGCAGGCTGCAGGAGCTGGAAAACGCATCCCGAAAGCACCACCCACGTGGCTGAGCCCGAGTGGCACCAACAAGCACAGGTTTACAAGAGCTGCAGCTGCGATTGCAAGTTCTTCGCTGCCCTAAGCCAGACTTCCTCTGTCCTTCAGGGAACAGAGCGTGCAGGGAAGAGCGAGGACAGAGCTTGCAACATTTCCTCTTTATACTCACAGAGGCTTTTTAAAAAGAGATATATTATTGTACACCCCAACCAGCCAAAAGCCTGTCAATAAGGAAAAAGCTCTAGAGAACAGTGCATGTGCGTTTGCATTGAAGGATGGGAGCACAGGGTATGAGACGGACACCTTGGGAGGTTGCATAAAGGGATCTGTTTTCTGCTACCAGCACCAGGATCGGCCCTTTGGTTCCAGGCATACCCTGAACCTCCAGCGCTTGTCTCGCAGCAGGCGATGAATAAGTGTCTGCGCTTGCGGGGAGAGCTGACTGCTGTCATAGAAACGTCAGTGGAGAAAGGACCTTCTGCCTGCGCCGCCACAACCCCCTGCTCCAGGCGCATTGTATAACCCCTTTTATTTAAGCATTATTCTCCGAGAAATCCACTTACAGCCACACATGAAAGCAGAGCAACCCCCCCGGGCCCAATCCTGACCCTGGAGGCAAATGTCTCGCCAGAGCCGGTTGCAGAAGGGGCCAGGGGGTTACCCTGTGCTGTGCGGCTGGCGCAGGAGCTCAGCCAAGGCCATGTCCTTGCCAGGCTCTGGGGGTGAGGACACGTCTGTCCCAGACTGGACAAGTCCCAACCACTTTACATAATGGCCACCCCCCCAGGCAGAGCTCTTCCTCTGACCCTGAAATATTGCCTGATGGCAAGATGCAAGATATTTGCTGCTCTTTCCTCTCTGGCCTCTTGCAAACACCAGATGCACGTGGCCAACAGAACTCAAGCTGTGCACCCTGGCCTGTCCACAGCCCTGGCACCCGGGATGAGCAGTGGGGCTTTACCTGGCCACCCATCAGCCCGGGACACCTGTGGACACGG